GAAGGACCCTCAACACTTCCTAACATAAAATCAGGAGTCAAAGAGATCAGGAGCCACCATTGAGTCCTACTCCCTGAAGGACCTTCATGGCCTAAGAAAGGATTACACTCGACAACCTGATTAATCTATAATTACTTGGTTAGTCCATCTTTGGGATGCTGCAGGCAAAGCTACAATTCTGGACGGCACTGAAGCGAGGCATTTGGGATCCCTGTCACATGACCCCATCATCGACCAAGGAATCATGAGGGGAGTTAACCCTCACAGCCTCTGGGCACGGGTCCTGGAAAGTGTAGCACAAAGATATCTGTGTGCAGATGATCTCTATATGTAGCAAACCCAGTGGAAGACCATAAAACAAGGGATCCAATGCCTCAGAGAAATGGCAGCGGCAGAGATTGTCTTCTCAGATGACATAAACACTGTAAATCCAGAATTGGTACCATGCACGTCTGTGATGTGGCAAAAACTTGTATGACTTGGGCCACAAGAATACACTTCTGCTTTAGCCATCTTGAAGCGGGATGACAGTGAGGAGACTATGCTTGATATGGCAAAGAAGCTCCCAGCATATGCAGATGCTGTACATGGCCCAACACATGCCAGAATCACACACACATCTGCAGAAATTAGAAGAGAAGATAGAAGAGAATCATAAGAAACTCAGGGAGGAGATTAAAGAGGACCTTCTCCAAATCTCAGCAGTACAGATCAGGTTCTGGTACCCAACGCAGACGTTCCCCAGATGGAGAGAGAAGGTACATCCCACGAGCTGAGCTGTGGTTCTTCCTGCGCGATTGTGGAGAAAACATGAGGAGATGGGATGGAAAATCTGCTGGTGTTCTGGGTGCGTGAATTGAAGGAAGACAAGGCTCAGAGAGGAAGTTCACCAAAAGGAAAGCAGTTCCAGTGGCCTGTAACCAAACTTCCAGGTATGATGATGATGATGATGATGATGATGATGATGACATGTCCAATCTCCTTGAAGGAACCTCCAGGACATATGCCCAAGGAAAGAAGGATAATCAGGCTTAGAAGGGCCCTGCCTCTAGCCAGGTAGAGGCTAGGGAAAACTGTGTTTTTTGGACTGTGTGGATTCATTGGCCTGGCACATCTGAACCACAAAAATATAAAGCTTTAGTCGATACTGGTACACAATGCACATTAATCCCATCAAGACACGTGGGAGCAGAATCTGTTTCTATTTCTAGTGTGAGAGGAAGACCACAGAATTTTACTTTGGTGGAAGCACATGTGAGCCTGACTGGACATGAGTGGAAGAAACATCTTATTGTGACTGGGCCAGAGGCGCCATGCATTTTGGGCACTGATTTCCTCTGTAGTGGGTATTTCAAAGACGCAAAAGGACTCAGGTGGGCTTTTGGGATAGCAGCTGTAGTGACAGAGGTCATCAAGCAATTGAACACCTTGCCTGGACTGTCCGAGAATCCATCTACAGTAGGACTTACAAAGGTGGAAGAGCAACAGATACCAATAGCCACTTCAACATTCCATCACCAACAGTATAGAACAACTCGAGATGATGTGATTCCCATCCACAAGATGATCCGAGAGCTGGAGAGCCAAGGGTTCATCAGCAAAACCCACTCACCCTTTAACAGCCCCATTTGGCCTGTGCATAAGTCTGATGGAGAATGGAGATTGACTGTGGACAATTGTGCCTTGAATGAAGTGACTCCACCGCTGAGCGCTGCTGTGCCGGACACGCGGGAGCTCCACTATTGGTACCCATGTGGCATTCACGTTTTCTGGAAAAATCCTTTCGCCCAGGATTTTTCTCCTGGGAAGCTGAGAACTCTCAAAGAAAAAGGAAAACAGTTTTATCTCATTTGCTTCTCCTATGTTTTGCTGCTTTGGAATGTGGTTGGTGATTGTTTATCCAACAGGTGATTGCTTCCTCGGTTTCTGCTGTGAATTATTTTGACTCATTGGCCAACTAGTGCCAAGCTGTGTCAGGATTCTAGAGAGAGTCACGGATTTTTCATTATTATCTTTTTAGCCTTCTGTAAGTATCCTTTCTGTATTCTTTAATATAGTATAATTTAATATTCTTTAATATAATACAGTATCATAAAATAATAAATTAACCTTCTGAGAACATGGAGTCAGATTCATCATTCCTCCCTTCTTCGGGGCACCCCACAAATACAATACCCCTGAGAGGACTGAGTCAGACAACGGAGTCATTTCAAGAACAGCCTTATAAACACCTGGGCGAGGGAACATGGCATTGTGTGGGTGTACCATATCCCCTACCATGCAGCAGCTTCAGGCAAAGTGGAGATACACAATGAACTATTTAAAACCCAGTTGAAAGCACTGGGTGGGGGATCTTTCGAAAATTGGAAGCAGCATTTAGCAAAGGCCACCTGGTTAGTTAACACCCGAGGTTCCACCAACCGAGCAGGTCCTGCCCAGTCTGAGTCCCTGCATATAGTAGGACGAGATAAAGTCCCAGTGGTACATGGTAAATTACAAAGACCTATTGAGGCTCAGACAAAAACTATTGAGAAAACCCTCACTGCTTCACAAGTGGAACCCATTAAAGGGCCATGCTTTAACTGTGGAAAACCCGGTCATTTGAAAAAGGACTTTTATGAGGCAGTGAAAAATGTAAAATTACCTAATATTTGCCCTTGGTGCAGAAAAGGGAGGCATTATTCCAACCACTGTCACTCCAAATTTGATATAGAAGGGAAGCCTCTGTCGGGAAACTTCAAAAAGAGCACACAGCACCATGACGTGAAAAAAACAAATAATGGCAGCTCAATCTCAAGAAAATTTAGGCAACCCAAACCAATTTGTGTAATCGCCAGTCACCTCCCAAGTGATCCTCCCCACTTATTACCCCCAGGGCACGATGTGAACTGGCAACTCCTAAATTAACATACTTTTTAAAAGACTTTTGCAATTAATTCATACCCACAGGAGTTACTGGTACTTCACAACAGAGACAAAACTTTTTAATTATAGGCAAAGACAGGAACATATTTCTTGGATTTTCCACTTTTCCAGCTGTTGTTTCAGTAAATTGTAATGAAGAGCTGATGGTTTTAGCTCTTGCTTCTAGCGCTCCAGTGGTAATTCAACCAAAACCACTAACAGCTATTGCTATTGCACTGCCAGTGACTATAGCTAAGCAAGACATATATGGAGAGACTCCACTTTTAACTGAGCGAGCTGTATACCAAGAAATGCCACTTCAGAGCTTCAGCCTGGCACCTGATGTCCTTTGGCTACAACGTGTCAGCAATGAGCGGCCACAGCTGACTTGCAGTCCTGGTGGTAAAAGAGTTCACCTTACAGCCATGCTGGACACTGGCACAGATGTCACTGTAATTTCTCATGTGTTTTGGCCAAGCGATTGGAATTTTGTGGCACCCATGGGCGCTCTCAGAGGAATTGGAGGAGTCACACTGTGTCTGCAAAGTGAACTCATGGTTACTGTTAGAGGTCCTGAAGGGAAGACAGCGATCATCTGTCCCTTCGTGGTGCAGAGACCCATCAGGGTATGGGGAGAGACGTACTGTCCCAGTGGGGAACCAAAACAGAAGTGAGTTTTTGATGAGTGCCACGGCAGCACCTGCCACTCTAAAGTTCTCATGGAAAACTGAAAACCCTCTTTGGGTGAGTCAGTGGCCTCTAGCAGAGAAAAAACTAAATGCCCTCAGAAAATTAGTAAATGAACAATTACAAAAAGGTCACATCAAGCCCACAAATAGCCCTTGGAATTCCCCAGTGTTTGTCATTCACAAGAAAACTTCTGATTCCTGGAGATTACTCCACAACTTGAGAAAGATCAGCAAAGTGATAGAAGACACAGGACCCCTGCAACCTGGACTGCCTTCTCTTTCGATGATTCCAAGAGACTGGCCTCTTGTTATCATCGACTTAAAAGACTGTTTTTTCAACATTCCACTGCTTCCAGAAGATGCTCCTCAATTTGCCTTTTCGGTTGCAGCCATCAATAGAGAACAATCACTGCAAAGATATCACTGGGCATTTTTACCACAAAGGATGAAAAATTCTCCTACAATTTGGCAATATTTTGTGGCACGAGCTTTGTCTCCAGCCCAACAAAAACAGCCACGGTCAAGGATTTTACATTACATGGGTGATTTACTCATTGCAGCACCAACTAAAAAGGAAATGGAACAGACTCGAGACAGGACGTCACTGAAGTTCAAAACACTGGATTAGAAATTTCTACATCAAAAATACAAGAAATACCACCCTGGAAATATTTAGGGTGGAGGATGACAGAACAAACAATCAAGCCACAGAAAATACAGCTCCAAACCAGTGTCAACACCCTGTTGAGAGACTGAACTAAAAACAAGTTTCAAAAGATGGCCCTGCAAAAAGAATTTTGGAGAATTAGAACTGTGAAAAATGCATTGTAGCAAGACCATAGGTGATTGGTGTTAGAAATATTAGCAGCACTGTGTGGCCAAAGCTAGCAGGCTGAAAAATATTTATATGGTATTGTAACCAGGAAATAGGGTGGCTTCTGATAGAATGGTGTTAAGTTTTACATCTCTTGTGTCTCACCCTTCTATGAGAGTGGCAATGGAATAAAATAATTTAAAATGCCTCTCAGTTGCCCCGTCTCTGTAGAGCTGGGATCTCCCAACACTCCTCCTAACAGGCACACTCAGCACTTTGCACAGCACAATATATGGTTACATTTCAAGCATATTTCTTAGTCATTAATATCATTAGCCTATGTGACAGCACGTTCAGTGTACTCTGGCGGTCCCACTGAGGAAGGCTCCGAGTCTTACGCGGGGTCATTCCGATGAAGGCCAGCAGTCTCATTCAGGCTGCACTTATCACCTTCCTTTCTGAAGCACGTGCAATCCTTCATTGCCTCGTTCAGGAGTTTCAACACGTTCTGTTCCTCGTAGCATGGTGCATTCTGTTTCTGTTATCTTAAAATGCCTAAAGCTCATATTTTTTCTTAGGTTTCTGCTTGGTATTTGCTGACCGTTAATACTTAAATCATGCATACATGAGTTACCTCTTCATCAACTCCTTTCACCACAGGCTCTGCTCCAGGCTCCTGTGGCCCCGACCAGGTGCTGATGGAGGCCGGGCCCAGCTGGGCTGTGGGGTGGGGCAGAATCATGGCTCCTTGGGCAGCAGCCGGCCCGCTGCACCCTCCAGAGCCCGGTGCCAGCGGCTGCTGGCCGCCTCGCAGGGCTGTGCGGGCAGGGGAGGCCAGTGCTGGCCGCACGGAGCGCCCGGCACAGGGGCTGGGCCTGCACCAAGTGCACCCTCCTGGCGCTCTCTCCAGCTGGCAGAGGACAAGAGCCGAGCGGCCGAGCACCTGCGCCACGCCCTGCAGTACCTGGACAGCCCGCAGGAGTCCCTGCGACAGGCGGCCATCAGGTTCATCGGTGAGCCACGAGCCCGGGCTGCCCTTCCCCGCCCCGCCCCGCCGCAGCTCGGCCCCAGCCCCGGCTGCTGCCCCGGCAGCGCCATCCGGGCCCGGTGCGCGGAGCTCCCCCAGCCTCGGCGCTGCTGCCGCCCTGTCGCAGCCGTGCCCTTGGGCGGCAGCATGCGGCAAGGGCCCGGCCCGAGCCCTGCCGGGGCCAGGAGGGCGTGTGGCCACAGGGCTGGCAGCGCCGCTGGCAGGGAGCTGTGCCGCCGGCGCCGTGACAGGCTCTGTGTTCTCAGGGATGGCCGGGCGGCACCTCAGGGGCCACAAGCGACAGCTGCGGCACATCTGTCAGGGTGAGTGAGGGCAGAGGGCTGCCAGCCCCGGCTGCCGGGGGGAGCTGCAATCCCTGCCCCGCTGCCGAGGGCTCTGCTCCCTGTGCGGGAGGGAGCACTGATTTCAGGCCCACGAGGGGCAATAGTGTCCGGTCGCTTCGGGCGGATCCCCTCGCTCCCTGCTCCCTCCTGGCCATGGCCAGAGCCGGCTGGCATGGCCCTGGCACAGGGGTCTCCTCGGGTCCCTGCAGATCCGGGATCTGACCGTGGCTCTGTTACCCTCTCTCGCAGCCCTTGAAGACAAGGCAGAGGATATCAGCCCTGCCACCAGAAGCTTGGCTCTCAAAACAGCCTTTGTCTTCTGGGCTGTGGAGAGAGCTCCGGGCTCCATCTTGCAGAAGCTGCAAGATCAGTTCTGCAGGGCACGCAAGAAATGGCCTTGTCTCTGGGGCCACCGCTGGCTGTGCTGCTGGGGCTCTGAGGAGAGCTGATTTGAGAGGAGATCTGTCTGCTGCGGCCATCTAAGCCAGGGGGGATTTTTCTTTTAGATTGGTTTTTTTCCTTCTTTTTCTTTCTTCTGTAGGATATAAATATAGAATGTGTTCTAATAGCTGGACTCCCAGGAGCTTCCTTTGGTGCCCAGCATCTGCAGGGCACGGGGGAAGAGGAGAAAACGGGTCCTTGTGCCAAGCAAGTGGCCCAGTATGCAGTGGGGAAGGGAAATGGCTAGAAGCCCTTGGCCTTTGGTGGTTCTGCTAAAGCCTTTCTGTTGAGGACAGAGCGGCTGGGCAGGGGCCAGAGCTGCGGGGATCCCTGCCAGACTGGTGCCCGGAGATGGCCACAAGCCCTCCTGCCCAGCCAGGCAGCGCCATCTGTGTCCTCCTGCCCGTGTGTTGCTGTCTGGATTGCTGAGGGCTCCGAGGTGCCTCTCGATCCGGCTCCTCTGGATCTCCCTTGGGGCTGTGCCGCTGCCGGGCAGGTTGGCCGGGCTGGGGGAGACCCTGAGGGGATGACGGGGCGGTGGGAGGCCGTGAAGGGATGAGGTGCTGCGGAGGCCCTGACGGGACAAGGTGATGGGAAGGCACGAGGGCCCTGTGGGAGGGAGTGGGTGGCAGGAGGCTCCAAGGGGACAGGAGGGCCCTGGGGAGCCGGGCTGGTGGGAAGCCCTGAGGAATTGGGTGTCAGAGGCCATAAGCAGCCCCCAGGCTGCTGCTTTGTTCCTGACAGCCGGGTGCTCTGGCGCTTCCCCAGGGAGGCTCCCCCGCCTGGGGCAGAAGGCCTGGAGGCTGGGCCTCAGCAGGAGGCTGGGGACACTCCCACAGTGCCCAGACTGCGCTGGCTGGGGACAAGGAGGGCAAGGGGGCCCTGCCAAGCCACAGTCACTGGGTGCCGCCAGGGCAGTGGGCAGAGCAGGGCTGGCAGGCAGCCCGGGCCCCTGCGGCTGCCCAGGCCATGGTGCTGAGGATGAGGCCCTCCCAACAGAGACCTCTGGGCCTGCAGAGCTTCTGCCTCCGTGGCAGGGGCGGCGATGTCTCCTCGAGCAGGGCTGCTGAGTTGCTGCTGCCAAAGCGGCTCTGGAAGCCACAGAAACAGCGGCGGAGCACGCACGGGAACAGCAGCACCCCGAACGCTGGCACCTGCTCAACGAGGCATCTGCACCAGCCGCCATGCCAAAATGGGGGATACTGTGGGCACCATTGCACGTGCTTTGGCAAAAGGCTTCAAGCATACTTGGCGACAATGGCTTTCTCCTGACTTGCCAGCCTCACAGCAATGCTTGGCAGCTGCAGCTGCAGCCTGTACCTCTGACTGACTTCAATGGCCGTGCTTGAGGGCAGACTCGCCTTCCACTGGCAGGCATTCCCAGGTGGCAGCATTGGTTGCATTGTTAGAGGCAGCACGAGCCCTACACTGCAGCTGCCCTCCCCCTCCTCTGTGCGGGCACCTTAAAAACACGTGCATGAGCTTCCAACCTAAATCCTGGACTGGCTCGGAGCAAAGGAAGAAGCAGCACGCACTGAAGAAAATCAGGCACTTGTGACCAACATTTACAGTTGGAGGGAAACACTTTGATGTCTGCTGAAGACGGCTCGCTTCACAAGCTCAGGCTTTGCTGGTAGAAGATGCTGCTTGGCTCTTGCTGGAGCCAATGCATGGCCTTCCACTCTTCCTGGATCAAGTCTGGTGGACCTGTGGGCAGCAAGTCTGTCCCGTGTGCATCTGACAACAGAAAAGAGCAGGACATGGCTGCTTCCAGCACTTGTCTTGGCTGCTCCTTCAGGGGGCTGGCACCATCATCAGAGACACAGAACAGCTTCTCGTCACAGAGTTATCCCTATCCTCTGCACTTCCCCAGGTGTCTGCCTTGATGTTCACGGGGGACTTCCTAATTTGTGGCCATCCATTGCCGTGCTCAGCCGGCAGCCCGTTGTGTTTGCACGCAAGCTGCCACCCGAAGACACATAGCAAGTGGAGCATAGAATAGCACAGGCTTGGCCAATTCTTTCTCTTCAGAGTGCCAGAAAGACACAAAAGCACAGCGAAACATGACAGTGTTTTGGTGGAGTCTCTTTGTCCTGTGAAATTCAGGAGCTGTTGGTGTTTCTGTGCTACTGCTAATCCCTTCCATGAAAATTGTCTTGGCTGCTCCTTCAGGGGGCTGGCACCATCATCAGAGACACAGAACAGCTTCTCGTCACAGAGTTATCCCTATCCTCTGCACTTCCCCAGGTGTCTGCCTTGATGTTCACGGGGGACTTCCTAATTTGTGGCCATCCATTGCCGTGCTCAGCCGGCAGCCCGTTGTGTTTGCACGCAAGCTGCCACCCGAAGACACATAGCAAGTGGAGCATAGAATAGCACAGGCTTGGCCAATTCTTTCTCTTCAGAGTGCCAGAAAGACACAAAAGCACAGCGAAACATGACAGTGTTTTGGTGGAGTCTCTTTGTCCTGTGAAATTCAGGAGCTGTTGGTGTTTCTGTGCTACTGCTAATCCCTTCCATGAAAAGAATCATTCCAGGAAGGAGCAACATCATCTGGCACATACCAAGTGTTGCCACCAGTTGCTCCAGGTGCTCCTACCAAGAGCCCCTATAGGATGGAGCACGGCCCCCAATGCACACCAGCTTTGGCTGCCCTCTGGCAGAGAAGCCCTCTCGAGGCACCGGTCTCTGGGGCAGGAGATGGGCACCAGCGCTGCAAGGGCTCGGGGAGACTCTGCTTCGGTGGGGACTCTGCCAAACCTGCTGATGTCGGTGCTCCCCGGGCCCCAGGGCTCAGAGGAGCATTTGTGCCCCGGCCCACACGTTCCTCGTCTGTGTCACACGGCTGCGCTTAGCGTGGCCACCACGCGGGACACGTCCCGAGGAGGCCGTGCCAGCTTCTGTGGAAGGCCCCGTGCCCTTCCCGCTGCGGCTGCGTCGGCAGTCACGGGGGCTCCTTTGGCTGCCCTGAGCCTGCAGAGCAGGGCAGCGTTTTCTTATAGTTTGAGTCATTCCCAAAGATCCTGTTGGGCTGTCTTAGACACTGGGGGCAAGGCTTTCCTTCCAACCTAGGCCACTTTGGTGGGGGCTGGGGGCAGCCCCAGGGCAGGTGGCAGGGTGTGCAAGGGCCCTTTGTGACACGGTGCTAGGTCTTGGGCTGCTGCCTGTGGCTGCTCCCTGCCTTTCTCTAGTGTCAGGTGTCAGGGCATGCATTGCTTCCAAGATTTACCTTTCAGATATGAGATACTCTGTTAGAGAGAAGTCACAGTGGAAGGTTAGTGGCAAGTGTGGCACAGAGCCTTATACATCCCTTCGGGAAATTTTTATTTTGGAGAGGTTTTTGTGGCATTTGGTACGATTTGAGCTCCTGCCATTTTATTTTCTGTGTTTGTACCTACAAAAAAGGGACTTCAACTGTGAATTAATCTGTGTTGTGACTTTCAGATGTGTTCAGGACACAGAACCTGCCAGGGTCTGGGTGCACTCCCTGTTCCAGAGCAGCACCTACAGCAGGTTTTGGGGACTATGGTAGCATCTAGGCCTCCCATAATCAACAGCCAAAAATGAAAACAGGTGCAGTGCCTGTTCTGGTCCTCCCCCACCACACAGAGGGGCATGGCGCAGCCTGTCCTAGTCCCCACACAGCTGGAGTACAGCCCTCTCTCCTCAGCCTGACATGTTCAGCAGGGAGCTCACTGGAAACAGCCGAAAAACAGCTTCTTCAGGGCTACCGCACTGCTCACCAAATATAATGAAGCTGCTCAGAGAAGGGATAAAGCCTTGGCAGGCTGGATACTACTCTGGGTAAATGCAGTGTGGGGTCATCCCATGGAGCTGGCCCCATTGTGTGAGGATGGGTGGGATGTTGTGTCACTGTGCTCTTCCTGAGAGAGTCTTCTCCTGGAGTGTGGTTTTCAGCACCACTTCTGGTGGGGTTTTTTCCTGCCATGTCCTGGCTCTGGATCTGAAAGAGAAAATAAAATCCAAATTGTTGTCTACAGGGGAAGCAGCCAGTTGTGTCTTCAGTGAGACACTCCTGGTTTATTCCCACAGAACTGTGGGTTTTCTTTGCCTGTCTTTGGTTTTTCTTTGGTGGTCCCCAAAGCCTCTTTCCACTGAACAGCTTCTACTTGTCCAGGTGGTACCCAGCAGATGAATGGGGATGAATCTAATGAGAACACAGTGGATAACTCCTCCTGCCTTGCCCATACCTCAGTTAAAGATGCAATTTTCTGTCAGAATTCTTGTCCTTCTCTGTGTTTTGTGCTCCTGTTTGCCCTTGACTTTGCTTGGAGAAAGCCTGAAGAAAGTGATGAATGAGACATGGTGGGCTTTTGTTTCCCACCTGTGTGAGATGCTCAGGATGTCTGGTGCTGAAGGCTGAAGGCACAGGTCTGACAGTCAGGAGAATTTGGGAATTTGTAGATACAGGGCAGAGGATTTGGGAAAAAATTATAAATTCTAGAAAAATTATGAATGCTAGACTCTTTTGCACTCTTCCACAGCTACTGGAAGGAAATATGTTAATTTTTATTACTCTTTCTAACAGATCAATTCTCCAAGTGTTTGATTTAGGCACTGAAAATAAATGGGCATTTTTAGCACTGTTCTTTGAGCTGCAAGGGATGATGTCTGTCCTGTCACAGACTGATGGGAGACCTTACCACCCTGCACTGGACTATTTTCTTTGAGGACATGGTGAAACCCCAGCTGAAAAATAATCAAAGCATGACATCTTCTTTTGCACACATCTGGATCCCTGAGTAATTCCTGTGTTATGTGTAAATCCCTTTTCTAAGGAGATAAAGGTCAAAAATATTTGGGGGGAGAGGGGTTGTTGTCAAGTTAGCAGAACAAAAGGGATTTATAGCAACTCTTCTGCTTTGAAGCTTTCCCAAAGTACCTGTAGCACCTCTGTGGGTAGAATGTGTAATTCCAGAGTATTAAAGTTTGTTGTAGAGACAAAAGCACAGCAGAAGTTATTTGTCCTTGCTCTTGCTCATCAGCA